TTGAAGGGCTCCGGGGCCAGGAGGGGGGCAGAAGAGTTTCCCTGGTGGTGCCCAGAGTGGTCACCAGGGCAAGCTGGGGAGGGCTAGCCTCCTACTAGTTTGAATTAAGTGGCTACACAGCCCTTAATTTGAACTACTTAATTCGAACTAGGCGTTAGTCCTCGTAGTATGAGGTTTACCTAGTTCGAATTAAGCGCTCCACTAGTTCGAATTAAGTTCGAACTAGCGGTTTGCCTGTGTAGTGCCTATGAAAGTTAATTCGAACTAACGTCTGTTAGTTCGAATTAACTTTGTAGTGTAGACACACCCAAAGAGCTGAATGGTGAGTTTGCCTTATGCAGCCTTTATCCATGCTGGCTGATGGTTCCCACAAACTCTGCACATGTGCACATACAGGGCTGCCCCCAAATGCTTCCCATGGGAAGAATTGTGAAGTGGGTAAAGAAAGACAGGAAGCAGGCAAAGTTGTCAGGCCAAATGTAAATCACCCCAGTCACTCCCAGTTGGAGCTTCATGACGTAACCAGACTGTCCCTTTCTTCAGGCTTCAGCCGTGACCAATCCTTGATCATGCTGATTAGTACCTTTCTCAGAGAGTAGTTCCATGGTGCTCAGTGTGCTGCTCAGAGAGAGGGTGGCACAACCTGGCCCTTGATGCTCTTGCTGGGATGCTGAGGCTATTACACATTATTATGCTCTCAAATGATCATATATATATTAAAGAGCTGCAGTTAAGTTTATCACAGGCTATTGCATATTTTTTAAAAACTACACTAAGTTTAGATGGACTTGGTCACTAGCTTGAAGTGAGAAAAGTACTGCACACATAGGAAAATTCCGTCTCTCTCCCGTGCACTTTAAAATTTTGCCTCCCATATATATTTATCTTCTGTAAAGAGTAACTGAAATACATCCCACTGAAATTGTCCCAGTAAAATCAATTCAATACATTTTCCTGTGTTTTCAGCATTAGATGAAAAGTTTTTGCATCATTGGATGTCCAGTAAAATTTGCACAACTATATGTATCTGTTAATTGTGAGACAAGGTTGGCTTTGTTCACAGCAGTGCTAGTTTTACTTTAATGATGAAACAATGTCTGTAATATATACGGAATACAAATTAGTTTTGAATATATCAAATTATTCCTAGTTGTTCCACTTGGAATTTTAATGAATATAAATTCTTCAGCTTTCAATACTGCAGTATGTGCATTTACAGTACAATGGTGTGTGAGTGTCAATAGGCAGATGTATATCTATGAGTAGGCTGATTAGCTATGTCACTTTTATGATGCCATTTAATGAAGTTAACTTAGCAGGATCCATTACCACCCCATTTGCACTCTAATTCACCTCTAGCAAGATATTCTGCACATCTGAATAGCTTTAAAGAGATATTATTAATAAAGATTATCACTTGACAGAGAAATGTTTCCTTTCCTCTTGGATTTGTCTGCATCATAGATGAACAATCCAGAATACAATTTCCTCCACAATAAAACTGCTTTGAGGAGCAGCATGGACAATGTTCAGTCCTGGACCAGATTTTGTCTTTTTTGTGATTTGAATAATAGTAATTGTGAAGGGCACCTTCAACTTTTTACATGAACTTTGTGCCACCAGAAATGATCTATTTCCAGCATGATACCAGTAATATTTTTGCAGCCTTGAAAGGTTCCAAGAAGTTGCTGTGTGAGGAAAAGCTCTTTTAGGTCTTTTTAAATAACTTTTTCAATGGAATAGGTAACATTTCTTCTCCCCAATTTTGTACAAGAAGAATCATAGATAACAAGGACACCTGTCTTTGAATGTGTAGGGATACATAAAACAATAAAACATTTCCAATATATTTTAAATACAACCACACAGCGCAAAATACCTTACTGTCTGGTATGTTAGACAGCGTTATGGACACTTATTTAAGTTGACATGCATAATGCATGGCTTTTCCTGTTGTTGTAGATCTCTCCCAATCTCCTATATCATGTTTATTACCATACTACACCATTATGTAAAGTGAAGCTTATTTCTGCCTAAGAGATCCTGTAAAAAGATCAAATTGTCTAATGCACAGCTCAGACTGATACTATTAATAGTAAAAAAAAACATAACACTCTGGAAATATTGATATTTAATGACATATTCTGAATTATTCATCAAAGGTTTCTTTAATAGTGATCAATCCATACCCTCATAAGACCAACCCCAACCTTCATCATGACAACAGTGAGTTTGACCACTTAGTTTTAAACAGGACCACAGTCAGTAGTGGTTGATGTGATACTTAGGACTCAGTCTTCTGGTGGAGGAAGGAAAATGTTATCCATCTTGTACAGGAACACTGGGAAGAAACATCAACACCAATATTGAGGCGATTTTCACACATTCTACTGTACAGCCTTTTTTTTTTTTTAAGAAACATTATGGGCATGCTGACAAAATAGAAATAGAACAAGCAATGGACACTTTGGAAAGTGTATCAAAATCACAATCAGGACTGTTAAAAACCAACTCCCTTCTTTCTCATTGATTGTGTAAATAAAATGCTCTCTCCCCATTCTAGATCCTAGGTGAGGAATTGGACAGCTGCAATATAAAACTGGTGGAACTGGATGCATCTGTACAAGATTTTGCAGAGCAGAACAACCAACTGGCTAAACAGCTGGCTAACAGGATAGGAAAACTGACTGGGCTACACCAACAGACAATTAGGCAGGCTGAATACAGAGCAGCCAAACTCAACCAGGTATGGTATGAAATAATTTCATGTGTTTCCATTTAGAGGCTTCCAAGAATTCTGATTGACTTTTTTGTATAGTTACATAAAAACATGATTGTCTCTTGGAATTATTTGTAATGTGTATATATTCAAGGCCAAATTCACTCCTTGTGGATGGGCCTTAGGCAGAAGTAAGTCTACATGTATGAATCATGGCCAACTCAGGAGGGCAGAATAATTCTGACTTGAAGAGATGCTGATTCAGCACCTTTGCTAGAAAAAGTGTCAGCAAAGTTCCTATGAAGACCTACACAGATATTAAAGCTGCCTTCCAACAGCAGCACACCCAGTGCAGTATACACCTCCTCCTCTAGAATTAAATCTTCCTGGTGTAGTTCCTACTTTATGTTCATTTGGAGGGAAGTTCTAATGCCCTGCAATGTGGGAAGAGAGCATAGCTTGTATACAACTATAGAAAAGTCTAAAAATAACATTCTTAAAAATGGTCCCAGGCAGTCTGTCCTTATTCAGCAAAGCACTGAAACACATGATTTGTCCTATTACCTTGAGTATTCAGAGTCCAGCTGTGCACATGCTTTGCTAAATTCGGATCAGTACAAGCAATTGAGCCATAGAAAAAGAGCCTAAGAAATCAGGTTGAGATACCATATTGGCATATTAGTGTTTAGAATAGCTGAGATAAGAGTGAGGGAAGGGACTTTTTGTGGCTATACATAATTTAGATATATCACAAGTCCCATTTTCAGAATGCTTTGAGAAGATTTTACAGAACTAGAAGTGGTATTCTTTTCCATTACATCTGCAAGTAAGGTTTTTTTTCCCAAAGTCAGAAATGTCTGTTAGAATATTTTTCAATTTCAAAAAGTGCTTTCTGAAAGAGCTATTTGTTATATATTTTAATTAAACATAGTACAAAACACAGGTGAAAACTCACTCCCCACACCAAGAAGCTTACAATTTAACTAGTATAGACAAACAATACAATTCAGATAGACAGGGTCTGTTTCCATTCTCATAATGTAGATCCATTGATTTTCAGCAGTTATTCCTCTTGAGTAGCGCATCAGATGTATAATGCAGTTGCTAACCAGAGGACAGTGTATTAGAAATCAGTACAGTTTTTGGCTTTGTATTTTTAAATAAGCATACTGCTTTTCTTCTTTTGGAAAATTAACATTACTAGGTGAGTTAGAGAAAGCAGGTTTTAAATAGAGAGGCAGAATGTGTGGGATCGCAGGTGGGAAGAGACACATAAGGGCAACCTAACATAAGGCACAAAGATAAGAATGATAGTAAGTAAGTGGGAGACTTGAGCGGAACAAGAAGGGAGAATATATTCTTGTGTGACAATCTTAGACATGCACATCCACCCACATCTACCCATCCTCATGTGTCATAGTTTTTTAGTAGGAACATTCACAAAATAGCTACACCTGCATTCAGAGGTATAATTAATCTTCATAATGTGAAATATTTTTGCTAAATTCAATAATAATATTAACAATAAGAAATAATTAATTGTTGAACATGTTTAAAATTACCCTCCATGACCAAAAAAAGGTAAATTAATTTACTTTTGCCACTTTTTAAAACATGTTCAGAGTCCTATTGTGAAGAATTGATTTTAAGGTTTAAAAACGGTTGTTTTTATTTTCAGGCTGCTTCACACTTGGAAGAATACAGTGAGATGCTGGAGTTTATACTGAAATGGATAGAAAAAGCTAAGATCCTAGTGCATGGTAGTATTACATGGAATTCTGCCTCCCAGCTTCGTGACCAGTTTATGGCATATCAGGTGAGTACACGAGCTACAAATTTCAAGAGACAGTTTAATGTCCATTTGTAACATTCTGTTCAGGATACCCAGAACTGTAAGCCACTGTGTTACCCCTCAGCTTCAACAAGTCAGAGATCAGAGAAGGGATGTTAATGGTTAACTGGTTAACCAGTAGGGGCTGGAGCACCCCACCTCCCACCTGCCTATCAATTTAACTGGTTAACCAATTTACATTCCTATATCAGACTGCATGTGTCAGTCCCAGGCCACACCAGTCTGTCAGCTTTACCAGCAAACCTCTGAGACTTTGCCAGTCTAAACTTTACCTTTCTGATAACATACAGTGAATCCAGGTTCTGCCACAAACAGCTCTCTACCATGTCCAGTTCCTTGCACTGGACATTCATGTTTGCTGCTTCCAAAAAGACAGAGCACACACTAGCAAGTTACTTTAACTGAAGACTCACACTTTAATTCAGTTATAAAAATACTGAGATGGGTTATAGAGAAACTGAGACTAAATTTACTAAAAAAGAAGATAAATATAAATGATAACTAAGCAAGAAAAAAGTGACAGGTATGGTTATAAACAAAACCAAAATTTAATTTTAGGAAGTTACAGTGTTTGCCTAAGCATTTTTCTTAATTACATCAAGTTACCAGTGTACCTAGCCCACCAGACTAGGGGATCCAACTTTCACAGGCTCAGAGGGTATGTCTACACTAGCCCCCCAGTTTGACTAGGGAGGCTAATGTAGGCATTCGAAGTTGCAAATCAAGCCCGGGATTTAAATATCCCTCGCTTGATTTGCATCTTCCCGGCCGGTCGCCATTTTTTGAAATTTATAAGTCCGGACTAACTGCCCACGTCTACAAGCGGTAAGGACCTGGTAGTTCGAAATAAAGTCCTAGTTCAAACTATCTGTTAAACCTCATTCCAGGAGGAATAACAGGTAGTTCAAACTAGGGCTTTATTTCGAACTACCGGGTCCCTGCCGCATGTAGAAACGGGCAGTTAGTCCGGACTTGTAAATTTCAAAAAATGGCGACCAGCCGGGAAGATGCAAATCAAGCGCAGGATATTTAAATCTTGATTTGCAACTTTGAATGCCTACATTAGCCTCCCTAGTTCGAACTAGGGGGCTAGTGTAGACATACCCAGAGAGTGCTATGCCCTATGTCTATAATTTATCTATTTATTTATTTTATTTAAATATTTTTATCCCGCCTTTCTATTTAAAATATTCAAGGCGGCTTACAAAAAAAAAAAAAAAAAAACAAAACAAATATATATAAAAATTTAAAATATGAGATCCCAGAGGGACATAACCAGGTAAAAACACATAGAGAGGAGGAACACACACATACAAATTCAAACATTAATAAAAGTACGAATAAAAAGAGTGGCTTTAGCCTGATGCCGAAACAACGCTAGCGTTGGTGCTATGTGAATATCCCGAGGAAGAGAATTTTAGCCTGGGAGCAGAAGCTGAGAATGCCCTGTTCAGCATAGATGTTAATAAGAGATAGATAAGAAAAATGTCTTTTTGTTCCCTTTATATCTCTTGAAGTCCATTGTCTTGGCATCAAGAGCTGAGAGGGCATAATCAGGAGCAAGTGGGAGGAGGGAGCCAGTAGGCTCACACGGAGCAGAAGTGGCAGCCACGTGTTTAAAGTTGAACACATGCTTAGATGTTTTCTTGAGTCAGTGCTTAAAATGTGGTGCTTAACTCTGGTGATGCGGTTCTTCCATGCAGACCATGTTTGAGGAGTCTGGAGAGATTCATGGTGATCTTGAGTCTATGAATGAGAAGATAGAATATCTTTCCAGCATTTACTGTACTGAAGGAATGACTCAGCAAGTGTCAGAACTGGGGCGGCAGACAGAAGAGTTACAGCAAATTATCAAACTGCGGCTCCAAAATCTCCAGGATGCAGCCAAGGTAGTTGAAATGCCCTTCATCGCTGGCTGGCAGCTGGAATAGCAGGTCACAACATTATGTTTGTAGGAGTGTCAGCAAAACAGGTCATCTGTGGTTTATAATGTGTTTGTCCTAGAAAAAGAAATGGAACCGATATTGTGCCATTTCTAATAACTTCAAACTCCTGGCCTGTGGGCTATCTCTAGCTGGAGCAATTGCACACTCTGGCCTGAAAGAGAGGGGAGGGCTGTCGGTTACCATTCCCCAAAACTTGCCTCTTCCTGTCATTTCCCTACCTTCTCCTCCCCCATGGCACCCTATCTACCAAGGATACAGCTTCGAATATTACCTGGGGGAGCTGGTGTGGGGTAGCAGCAGTGGTCATCAACACACACACACACACACACACGCACAAAACAGTGACAGGAGCAGTGGGGAAGCGGAAAGCAGCAGACTGAAAATTGATCCAGCCAGGGATGGCTTGTGAGCCCAGAGTTTGAGACTCCTGTTCTAAAGGTTTCATCCAGTTCCTACTGAAGTTTATGGGAGTCATTCTGCTGATATAACTGGGAGTCGGATTGTGACAAAAATGTAGAGTAAGGTTTGCATTTCCAAATGGGTGTACTCAGTAGAGTGTGCACTTCCACATGTATCATGCTTCAATATGCAAACTCCTTAACGTGTGTACATACCAGAATTTACATGTGTTAACCATACCTACTGCACGTGTATGAGGGATTTGCAAAGTTAGGGCAGGACACATGCAAAAGCGCAGAAGCATTTTTTACTACACCCATTTGAATAAAAAACCCCAAACAATTTCTTTTACAGATGGAAAGTGGCTCTCTCAGATTTATTTTAAGCCAAGAATCAAACAGGAAACTGCTGTACAGTAGTGTAGCTTTCTAGAACTGGAGAAGGTTTTCCATCATAATTACAGTGTTTCTTCTGATGTTGACAGCTAGTACAAAAAAGATACAAATTGATAAATATGGAAAAATTATGTAAGTTCAGTTAAAGGTACGGCAGATAGCTCTACATTCCCTGGCTTTTTCTAGTGATCCTTCACTCATCAGTGGGTCTGAGCTCAGCAGTCATATATTGCAATGTAGCAGATATTCTGTAATAGTTAAGCACAGTAAGGTGATAAAAAAAACTTTTAAATAACATCTGAGGTGCAAAACATATTAAACCACAAATGCTCATAAAGTCAAGGCTGATTTTATTGTTCATGGAACAAATCAGATACTGATCTCAATACTTAAAGTAATAGAAGTGAATGGTATAATTTTAAACAAGTCCAGATTGAAATTATTTGCGGGGACAATGTCAGTGTCTTGGAGACCTCCTTTTCCAATCTAGCTCAGGGTGTAATAAGAGTAAAGACTTCTTGATACTCCCCGTAACTTGTAGTTTATATTGAAAAAAACCTGGTGTTGTGTGTGGATTATAGTGGATACTATAATACCAGACACATCTTTGGCCTTCATTTCTTGTTTGCTTGCTTGTCCCTGACTTTTGCAGGATATGAAGAAATTTGAAGTGGAGGTGAAAGCTCTACAGGCTGCTTTGGAGCAAGCCCAAGCTACTCTCACCTCTCCAGAGCTTGGACGTTTGAGTCTAAAAGAACAGCTTTCTCACAGACAGGTAAAAGGGTTAAGCCACAAAGATAAAATAGAAGAGAAATGAGCAGCTGTAATCACTCAGGCTGCCCATGGAATAAGGCACTACTTACCATGAGGTAAAGTGTTGGAAGACAGCCTCAAATTACCCATGGGCATGGAGAAAACAGGAGAAAAATGTTACTTAGAAGGTTGTTTCAAAGGTAAAATGCTTCACGGGGCTATTCCTCAGTTGATGTGGCTTGTGAATTCATACCTAGTTTAAGGCTGTGCCTGAAGTAACAATCTACCTAATAATAATAATAATAAAAATAATATAATAAACATTGATATAGCCTATTCCATCAGTAGATCTCTAAGTGCTTTATGAAGAAAGTCAGCATTGTTATCTCCATTTTCTAGATCGGGAAAAAACAGACACAGAGAAATGGAGGGACTAGTTTGCCCACCCCCAAAAGTCTAGAGTAAATCAGGAGTAGAATCCAGGTCCTGAATACCAGTCTGTGGTTCTATCTATTAATCATCTATGCCTCCGTAGAATAATAGAATAGGAAGAAAACTTGAAAGGTCGTCTTGTCCAGTCCTCTGCATTCATGGTAGGACCAAGCACCTTAAACCATCCTTGACAGATGTTTGTCTAACCTGCTCTTAACTCCAATGATGGAGATTACACAAACAAGAAGTTTATTCCAGTGCTTAATTACCTTGACAGGGCATTTTTCCTAACCTCAAACCTAAACCTCCCTGGCTTCAAGTTAAACGCGTTGTTTCTTGTCTTGTTGTCGGAGGCTAAGGAGAATAAATTTTCACCCTCTTCCTTGTAACAACCTTTCAGATAATTGAAAACTGTTACCATGTTTCCTCTCGGTCTTTTCTTTTCCAACTCCAGTTCTTTCAGTCTTCTCTCTTTGGTCATATTTTCTAGACCTGTAATCATTTTGTTGCCCTTTTCTGGACATTTTCCAGTTTTTCCACATCTTTCCTGAAATGTGGCTCTCAGAACTGGACACAGTACTCTAGTTGAGGTCTAATCAGTATGGAGTAGAGCAGAAAAATATTTTCTTATGTTTTCCTTACAACACTCTTGCTAAAGCATCCCAGAGTGATATTTTTTTTCTCCCAACAGTGTTACAGTGTTGACTCATATTTAGCTTGTCTTCCACTATGACCCCTAGATCCCTTTCTGCAATACTCCCTCCTAGGCAATCATTTCCCATTTTGTGTGTAAGTAATGGATTATTTCTTTCTAAGTGTGGTACATTACATTTGTCCTTATTGAATTTCATTGTATTTACCTGAGACCCTTTCTACAGTTTGTCCAGATAATTCTGAATTTTCATCCTATCTTACAAAGCACTTGCAACCCCTCCCAACTTGGTAAATTCCACAAATTTTATAAGCACACTCTCTCTGCCATTATCTAAATCAGGGGTCTCCAAACTACGGCCCGCGGGCCGGATGCGGCCCGCGAGGCCCTCTCATCCGGCCCGTGGAGACCTTTTTGTCTGGCCCCGCCTTCTTCCGCGTGCCGGCGAGATTATCCCTGAGGCGCTTGAGTCCGAGCATTGGTGTCAGCGGGAGAAACGGATTCGCAGGCGGCTGCGCGAGGCCCCAGCGCGCGCACGGGACAGCAGGTAGCCCAGGTCAGGGACGGCTCCGCGTGCCGCTTGGCCGGGCGGGCGAAAAAGGGGGGTCTCGAAGGCGGGCTCCGGATCAGACCCGGCGGCAGAGGATCGCGGGAGGCTGGACGGAGGGGAGGAAACCCGACGGTGGTTTCTCAGGGGCTAGGAGCGAGGGGCTACTTCTCCGGGGGCGGGGCTGAGGAGCTGGTGCCCATTGCAGGAGGCAGTCTGGTTGCTGTGGCACAGTGATTACGTGTCTGCTTTCAAACCAGCTTTTCCCATTAAAATGCATGCCCCTTGTTCCATGAGGCTATGTTACAAATTGTCACCTCATTCCCTGCATGATAGGAGAGCGATCACATCTCTTCAAGTGTGAGTGTCTTAGGCTGAACATATTGAACCACCCCCAATTTCAAACAGTGATTTCTAAAGCCAGAAATGTCTGCTATTTTGGCATCCAGGAAACAATTTCACCATTCACACTAATACAGGTGTTCATGTGTAGTGTATCAATGTGTTATTAAATAATAACTGAATAAAATAATATTAAATAAATAATTAAAAACAACATCCATTTTTTGATTGTTTTTTATTTGGACCTCAAGTGTGTAGTCGGCCCCCAAACTGCTGTTTGATAGTTAATGCGGCCCTCGGGCAGAAAAGTTTGGAGACCCCTGATCTAAATCATTGAAGATATTGAACAGAACTGGTCTCAGAACTTATCCCTGTGGAAACCCACACATTATGTCCTTCCAGCATGACTGTGAACCACTTCTGTTATGTACCCACTATCTATGTGGTAGTTCCTTAGTTTTTTAATTACGTCTTGCAAGACTATCAATAGCCTTACTAAAGTCTGGATATACCACACTTATCATTTTCCCTTTTCCACAAGGCTTGTTACTCTGTCTGTAAAAGCTATCAGGCTATTAGATAAGATTTGTTCTTGACAAACTCGTGCTGACTGTTACTTATCACCTTATCATTTTCCAGATGATTGCAAAATGATTATTTAATTTTTACTCCATTATCTTCCCTGGCTCAAAAGTTAAGCCAAATAGTCTTTAATTCCATGAGTTACCCTTATTTCACTTTTTATAGATGGGCACTATATTTGCCTTTTTCAGTCTTCTGGAATCTCTCTCCACTTTCATGATAATAGCAAATGGCTCAGATATCTCCTCAGTCAGTTCCTTCAGTAGTCAGTATTCTAGGACGCATTTCATCAGGCCCTGGTGACTTGAAGACATGTAACTCATGTAATCAATTTTTAATTTGTCTTTTCCCTATTTTAGCTTCTTATCCTACTCCATTTTCATTGGCATTCAATATGTTAGGTGTCCAATCACCACCAGCCTTTGTGGTGAACAGTGAAACAAAGAAGTCATTAAGCACCTCTGCCATTTCTACATTATCTTGTATTGTTTCTTTCTCTTCATTGAGTAATGGGCCTATTCTGTCCTTGGTCGTCTTCTTGCTTCTAATGTATTTGTAAAAAATTTTCTTGTTACCTTTTATGTCTCTTGCTAGATTGAGCTCATTTTGTGTCTTGGCCTTTCTAATTTTGCCCCTACATACTTGTGTTATTTGTTTATATTCATCTACTGTAATTTGACCTCGTTTCCACTTTTTGTAGAATTCTTATTTCATGTTTAGAAGTCTCAGGGTATGTCTACACTACCTCGCTAGTTCGAACTAGCAGGGGTAATGTAGTCATCCGCAGTTGCAAATGAAACCCGGGAAATTCAAATCCCGGGCTTCATTTGCAACTGCGGATGACTACATTGCCCCCGCTAGTTCGAACTAGCAGGGTAGTGTAGACATACCCTCAGAGAGGTAGCTGTGTTAGTCTGTAACTTTAAAAACAAAGAGTAATCCTGTGGCACCTTAGTGTATGTCTACACTTGCACCCTAGTTCGAACTAGGGGTGCAAATGTAGGCATTCGAAATAGTCAATGAAGCGGGGATTTAACTATCCCGCACTTCGTTAGCATGATCTCGCTGGCACGTTATTCCTATCAACAGCTGTTTCCAAAGTGAAAGTGCGTGCCGGGACTTGTCATTTTTTGAGGAGTGACGTTAGTTCAAACCAAGAGATTTGGTTCAAACTAACGCATCCCAGCGCGCACTTTCACTTTTGAAACAGCTGTTGATCAGAGTTACAATCAAATCTAAAGATCCTCTTCCTTACAACATTCTCTGCTTTCTGAAATAAAATATTATTTCCAATACATTCGAAAAACTTGCTCGATAATCTTTGCCCTGCTTTGTTACTTCCCCAACATATGTTTGGATAATTGAAGTCCCCAATCACCACCAAGCCCTGTGCTTTGGATGATTTTGGATCATTCAGCAGCTTTTTCTATTGCAGTTCCCCTATTCTAGAGATTCACTTGTGGTTACTTTTTGTTCTTGGTCTCAGTGATCCACTTAATCAAAACAATGTCTGAGAGTACTTGATTACAATTTTCTACTCCAGAATAATTCAGAGCTACATTATTGATTGCCCTCATTCTGTGAGCGCTAGCCTAACATCAGCCAGTTCTCTCTGGTTAAACTACTAATAGAACGATGTTTTGTGGGTGCTCTTGGAAAAGATTAAAATCTACAAATTCAGAAAAGAGTGAATGTTTGAAGCTTTGCATATGGATTTAAAAGCATTACTCCTGTTAATAAGGGTCTCACAAGCAATTCTCTGCACACCACAGTGAATTGTGAACCATCCCATCACTCACCTGAAGACAAAATAACTATGAAGCAGCTACCAAATTATTCTTCCCAGGTCAAGTTCTGCCCCTGCCAGTAGAGCTGTGCAAGGGGAAACCCTCCACAGCTTACAAACAGCTGCAGAGTGGCTATGTTGTCACCTAACTCAGCCCATGCCCCAGAAGTAGAAGGGATAAGTTCTTTGAGGTAGACTGTCTTGGTGTGTAGCCCAGAGAATGTCTTAAATGTCAGCTCCAAAATTAAAGCTCTCCTTTATGGTTGGTATGATGCCTATCAGGTATAGTTTTGGAGCATAGATGTCTGGGGAATAGATAGGTATACACCATGATTCTTTGATCATCCAACCTTCTTCATAAAAGGCAAGATAACCCACAGCACATTAGGTGCCCCAGAACTCAGGGTCTTTCCTTTGCCCCTCACCACAACACCATTGCCATAGCCCCGAGGACACAATAGAGGGGGCAAAAGGGATAAGTGTCTGCACATCATACTGTCAAATTTTTGGTACTGAGGAGTCAGCCTATTCAATATACAAATGCAGACTCTGTGTGTGAATATGCATCATGTTGTCTTCATTTTTTATTGAGAATTCAGAAAACTCAATGCCAATAAAAATAATGTAGTCCTAATCTGACTGCTTGTAATTGTGCCTACACAGTTCTCATGCATATGAATGGAAGCTAGGCACATGCATTATGGGAAGAATAGATGCTTGGAGAGCTCAGATAAACAAAAGAGAGCAGATGGTGCTTATTCAAGGAGAAGTATCTTTATGTAGCTGCATTTTGTTCCATTTTGTTGCTTATTTAATTTTAAACATCCTTTTTAGCCATGGTCTAAATTTTCAAAGGAGGATTATGAGCACAAATAATTAATTTTACATGCCCTATATGAAAATATGCAGCTATATCTCAGCAAGGCTTCCAATTTAGTTTTACTTTTAAAATGTACATATAAACAAGATTAAACAAATACTACTTGTTCTGAAATTACACTTGGTTTTTAAGCATATTTGTATGTATATTCTAGAATAGTTTAAAGAATTCCTTTCAGACTAGACATAGACACATAAACATTGTTTTGTTTCAAAAGGGCTCATTAAATGATTTAATGAATCATTGTTGTCCCTATTTGATAGCTGACATGCACTTTGTTTAATTAAGAATATAAAATAATATTTATCACAAAATCAACAAGCAACTCCACTCTGAGAGTGCCCTGGTTATGCTTCATTTAACTATGGGTAACCTAATTCATCTTTTATTTTGCTGTTACTGGCTGTGTGAATTTTCTTTGGAATTCATGGGGAAATGATTTACTATGGCCCAATTTTATTTCTAGCATCTTCTGTCTGAAATGGAGTCACTGAAGCCAAAGGTCCATGCTGTTCAGGTCTGCCAGAGTGCCTTAAGGATGCCTGAAGAGGTGGTCACCAGCCTGCAGATATGTCACACTGCTCTCAGACTCCAGGAGGAAGCTAGCCTCCTGCAGCACATGGCTATCCAGCAGTGCAATATAATGCAGGCAAGTGCAAACCATGCTCTAAATGAGGGTGTGTGGGGGGGGGGGGGGGGGGGGGGGAGTAGAGATTGTGATACCAGTAGAAAGATTTATACTGGCACAGAGTAAGACTTGCATCTCTTTTAACCTTAACCTAACCCAATGTTTGCCTAGAACTGTAATATACCTACCACTTACATTGTAATGATTTTGAACTCCGTTTGTATTGGAATTTAAACAGATTATTAGATAATTTTCTCAGTCTGCATTAATTCCCAAAGAAATGAAATAAAACTTTAATACCCAATTATCATTTTACCCTCTAATCGTTGTTATAATATTGCTCACCTTTCCTTTCCTTTCCACATTCTTGTGAGTATTATTGCATAACCTATTGTTTTCATTTACAAAAATCTCAATTGTATGCTCCTGTTCATCCTGTTGGTTATCTGTTCATCTTTTTGCATATTCTGGCTGTCTAACCTATCTATTTTGACTGAAAAACACATTTTTCATTTCAGATGTAATGAATGGTTTCTTTGTTGGATGGTTGACAAAAGATGTAATTAATATTTTCTTTATTGTATGGTGAATAAGAACCTGAGGTGACCTGTAGCAGTTGCTGATACTTTGTTGGGGCCATGCACTTTTTCCAAACTTAAGAATTCAAATATCATGAGGCAGTACCCTAAAACATCATGAGATTATCATGAAAATCATGAGTTTGTTTTTCTCTAAATTATTTACACGGGGATCTTTTATTGTTTCCTGGTTTCAGAGCTTTTAATGTGCCCTCGGATCATGTTTCTGAGCTTTTTGCCATAAGCAAGAAACTTCTTTAATGAAAAAGAAATCTGAGATTCTCATTAGAGATATAAGCAACTAGTCAAGTGACTACACAACTACTTGCTTCCCTCCCCCCCTTGCTGCCTTTGTATCAAAGACAGCAAGTTGGGGGGGGGGAGCAGAAGCCAGTGCTGGGAGGAGCCGGTTTAAAAGCTGGATCCCCCCCAGCACCATCTGTGGGAGGAGGGACGGGGAGGCTCTGGGAGCTACCCCTGCTCCAGCAACTGTGTATTTTAAATGTAGTAAGAGTCAGACAACTCTTACTACATTTCAAATGCAGAGCTGCAGTAGTCCCAGAACTGGTCTGACTGTTCAATGCTGGTTTTCAACGGCTCCACGAGTTACCCCCTGCCTGTGAGCCCGGCTTCTACTACATTTAAACGGCAGAGCCACAGCAGGGGTAGCTTCTGGAATCAGCATGAACCATGACGGATCACCTTCTCTTAATGACTAATCGTGTCGTCAATACAATTTGTATCGAATACATGATTAGCTAATTACCCTCTTCTTAACATCCTTAATTCTCATATCATTTCTTCGCTCCAGGAGTTGGCTTTAAGAAAAAACAGCCAATACCACAAGATTTGTGATAAAATTGTGACGGTAGACAGGGACAACACTGCATTGTAGGTGGGTGTGGCTGGAGAGGCAGCCAGTGGCAAGTCTTGAGCCCCGCAGGGGTGGACATTTGGCTTTTAAAAAGTCTTCTTGAACATTATATTTTACTTGTTTTGGGACAGTGCCAGTTCAAAACCTACCTTAATAGCTCAGCTATTAAATTATTTGCTAATGACTATTAAAGTATTTGCTTCCCTGTAACTCAGAATGTTCCCCAATGAACTATCCTGCCAGTGAGAACTCTCCTGCTTTACATCAGCTGCTGCTAGTGCTGACCTTATCCCATCATTACACTTTGGCATTGTGGTTTATGAGCCTGAGATTTTTTCAAAAGCCCACTAGGGGATTTATTCACAACCTTTCCAGTTAAATTAATGTGTCATGTGGCTAAATCCACTAGTCAGCTTTGAAAGTCTCAGCCAGTTGTTTTTGCATGCTAACACAAAGGTGGAAGATGGCATATTTTGAATAATTTTAAAACAGGCTGAAAAAAGCAATTGAATATACTGTTCAGACTAATTCATCATTAGAAAACAGATAGGCAAGGTGAATTCTAATTTCTTTCCAGTTCTGAGTTCTCTGTGGTTATTTACATGTTAACATTGCAACTATATTATTCAGTAACCCTCCATATTAATTACTCTCCAGGAAAAATATCTACTAATTCTTCTGTCTACAGAAATATATCTCACTAAAAATACTTATTATGTAGTGAGTTCTATGTTATATTTTGTAAAATTGTATATAGATGTGGTTCTTCAGTAAGTCTTACTGAGTGAAGTTTATGTTTTCAAATTAAATTAGCTTTCATTATAAATGTAGCTGACAAAAGGTTGCAATAGCCATAATAAACACCATTATATATGGTGCCAAAGGGTTTTGTAGGCATTACAAACATTTAATTCTCACTATTAGATAAATAGCATCAAAGCCATATTATTGATGGTTGTACTGGGACACAGAGAGGTAAAGTAACACTCCAATTCATGTAGCAAGATAGTGACAGACCTGGAAATAAAGCCAGCCATTCTAATTTAACCCCTGGACTATCAACTCTTCTGTTAAGTTAAGACATTTATAACATGTGATTAAGTGGCCCATTCTCAATTGGCATGTTGACTCCCTATGTAAGCAGTATTATATATTTACTTTGTAGCCAAAATCAAATAGCCGATGCTTTGCAGTACTATCTTCAACTACAATACATATAATACAAGATAAAAGATAACTGTATATATTATGAGCAAACCTATCTGCTAAAGTCTAATGCAGATGGGAAGGAAGCAAGTTTTTCTTCAGGTCCCAAACACACTGACTTTGGAATCCCAAGATCTTCATGCTTTGGAATGCCATGCATTAGTCAGTGTTTCTCAACCTTTTTTTGCTCATGGCCCTCTTCTGAGTCTCATTTACCTTTGTGCATACATTTTAAAATAAGACAATTTAATATCAAAGTGTTTTCTAAAAAAAAAAGTAATGTGGAGCTTTCCAATCACATTTCTGAGTATAACCATGTTTGAGGTGAGTAAGCAGAAGACTTTATTCTAGTCAGTTATGTGTTCTGTTTTCCGTTTATGTCTTGGTTTTTTTTGTATAGCTGGCTTTTTTAGCAATTTTATATGTGCTTAGGGAGAGGATAGTGTAACTGAATGAATAGTATTCTATTTTTATTTTTTACATCTACTGTATCTTCTCTCTCTAGGAAGCACTGGTACAGTATGAACAATATGAACAAGAGATGAAGCATTTACACCAAATGATAGAGGGTGCCCACCGTGAGATCCAAGACAAACCTGTTGCAACCGCTAACATCCAGGAGCTGCAGGCCCAGATTTCACGCCATGAGGTAATGCAGCAGAGATTCAACTGTCCAGGCTCTGAGTTAATTAGTTGGAGAGATCTCTTGGTCAACTTAAGTTCTCTTTAAGTCACAGAGCAGTTTTTAGAGGTTCAGAAAGAATAGCTTAGCAGAAGGATTTATACTTCACATACACATAGCAAATTCCTGTTAATACCACAGTTCCAAGTATTTTTTTTCTTTAGCATGTAGAAAGCATAGTATTTTTTTCTTTATGCTTGAGAAAGCATAGTAATCTATTAAATCACCAAGGAGCTACCAAATGCTGAAAGACACAGAGCCCATAATGCAATCATTCTAAGTGGCGCTTCAGAATATTTTATTGGGAACTCTTTGCATCGTATGGTTACACCATGCTGAATATGAACAGGAAGATAACTGTCACTAAATGATCTTGGGCCCATACCTGAAGTTCTCATCACTGAGAGCTGTGCCTGAAAACAGACAGCAAAAGCAAGGGGTAGGTTCATCCCTCCTAAGGTAAAGCCCACATTAGACAATTCTAGAGGAAGAAAACTCTGCAAATATTATCTTGAAAGGCCCTTTCCAAGTTATTCTGTCAGGGGAGTAGAGTTTTGCCTCTGAAGAATGAGCTTCATGTCCATATCTCAAATCCATGGATCTCAGATGATCATACAAGGACAGGACAATCTGTGTGAAGGCTTCATGCCAACACACTGACTTTGGAATCCCAAGATCTTCATGCTTTGGAATGCCATGCATTAGTCAGTGTTTCTCAACCTTTTTTTGCTCATGGCCCTCTTCTGAGTCTCATTTACCTTTGTGTCCCCCCTCATAGCCGCTGTTGGAAAAAAAGGGTACTTAATTTACCTAATGTTCCGTTTTTTCCATATGGCCCACGGTTGAGAACCAGCATTAGATGACTAAATTGGTAGTGGTCTCACTTTTTCATAGTTTTTGACACTAGATGGCACTATGCTTTAGTTTTGGAAGAAAAGTTAAATTTGCCTTTCGCAGTTTGTTGATTATCTCTGAAGTACTCAAATACTGCTTAGTTAATTTTCTGCTGTTTAGTAAAATGCAAAAGAAGCTATTTGAAACAAATGCTTTATGCTGTTGTGCTGAAAGGCATTCCTAATAATGTCTCCATAGATGGATCCGATTCAGTTCAGAGGGAGCTGTTAAGAATGAGGCAAGCACAGGATTCACTAGAATCACACATGTATGAATAGAGAACCTGGGAATCTTTTTAGAGGAGCATAGAGAAGCCCTCTTATTTGAACCACTGCATGTCAAAGGGCTTTGGTTCAGGCCTGCAAGGTGCCCCAAATTTTTGGGAGGTATAATCTATCCTCTGCCCAAATCCCCATTTATTCAGAGTTTGGGTGGTAGTGAAGGTAGGGTGGATCAATCTCACATGATGCAAAGTAGAATAAAATGGAGTTTCGCTCTTTAGTATAATGTTTGAAAAATCTCAAAGGAATGTATTTAAAGAGAAACTGATGATGCCACATTTCTGCATTTATATTTATTTAAAGAAGTTTTGCAGCAGAGTACATGATATAGTAAACAAGATGTACAGGATCATTGTATAATTATACCTTTTATTTTTAATCAGGTGTGCAAGATGCAGATTGCAATGCATAAATGGAAAGAAAAATTACAGTTTACCTGACTTCACAGTTGTAGTCCATGTGTGTGAAGTTTACTAGGGCACACAGTACCTCTGTTTAAATACAAAGATAAGATGGAAAGAAGAAAGCTAGTAGGCTGTGTCCAGACTCAGGGGTTTTTTCGGGAAAAGTAGCCTTTTTCCGAAAAAACTTCCCCTGCGTCCAGACTCAAGCCACGTTCTTTCGAAATTAAATCGAAAGAACGCGGCTTTTCTTTCGATGGCGGTAAACCTCATTTCACGAGGAAGAACGCCTTCTTTCGAAAGTTCCTCTTTCGAAAGAAGGCGTTCTTCAATGTAAAGAGGCCGTCTTCGAAAGAGAGGAAAAAGCAAGCCGCTTTTTCGAAAGTTCAACGTGCAGTCTAGACGCTCTCTTTCAAAAGAGGCTCTTTCGAAAGAGGCTTGCAGTCTAGACATAGCCGTACTCTCTCATCACAGAGATCTTTTGGTAGTCCTGTACATAAGTTACACAGAGTATTTTTCTATATAATAAATATATTTACAGAAGTCTACTTCTCTGGGCTACCACGTTATATCATGGCCACCTAATCTGATGGGTCTAGGAGCATTATGATGTTGATGGGCAGTACAGTAGTTAGCAGGATATTAGGTGTGTCTTCACTCATTAGATGTCCACGCAATTGTGAGATTACAATACAGCCTAATCATTCACAGCATTATCATGTTGCATTGCAGTGTGGTGACAAAACTTTATTGAAGGATATTTCTAGTATAAATATCATGATGTTTTGATGTAAGCAGTTGTCTTACTGAAAAATCAAACTTGGGCATGCAGACCAGGTACAACATGCAGTTAATTGAATCACACCCATAAAAATAACTTTGATTTACATTGTGAAATAGTGACTGAAAAAACTGAGCTCCCACAAAATGATGACCAGAAAAAAAAAATTGGACCCTTCTATGTGCACTCTGTACAAGCCGCCTGCCTATTTCTTTTTTAAACCTGTAATTTTTTCTGAATCTCAGTTTAGGCCTGTTTTGTCTGTAAAATGTCAGAGTTACAAACACCTCTAGAATAGAGGTTGTTCATAACTCTCAAATGTTTATAACTCTGATGAAAGCATCATGGTTTTTCTTTCCAAAATCTACAGCTGAACATTGACTTAATACAACTTTGAAACTTTACTATGAAGAAGAAAAATGCTGCATTTTGACGTTTCAATTTAAATGAAACACGCACTTAAACGTTTTTCTTACCTTATCAAAAATTTGCATTTTGCTTCATTTTTAATAGTTTATATTTAACACTATAACTACACTGTATTAAGAGTGGTTTTTTTTAAAATCTCTGCTGCTGCCTAATTTTGTTCTTCCAGTTCCAAATGAGAGGGTGGTTGACAGTCAGTTCATAATTCTGAGATTCTACTTTACATAACATACCCCTCTCAACTAAAATATGTATTACAATCAATGTGGGAAGTATTAACTGTACAAATATTAATGAATTGTAGTAATATTAATGGAGTTAAACAACTAAAGCCCAGTGGATAGAATTGTTAATGGACTTTCTGTTCATCTCCTGGGACAGTTCCTAAATTGGGGTGGAGGTAGCACACAATTTAGTATCAGAGCAAAGGGAGGAATTAACTGTTAAAGGACTATTAGTCATTAGAGTTAGAGTCTGATCTGATTATTCCAAATCCACTTGCTTCACACTAGAAGCTTTTGCTTAGCCTCCTGGTGAAGCTGGAGAATCATTTTGGTTGTTGATATCTGAAAGTGAAAAGAGTATAGGGAGGAAAGCACAAGTCAAAAGCTATTTCAGATCAGAAAGGTGCTCACTCTAAGTAATAGGAAATGTCAGTTTATAACACGGTATTTCACCAGTCTGGAAGTTTTCCAGTGAGATGTTGAGTAATTAGTTTAATAGATGTTTACATAACCTGCAGAGTCAAAAGCCAAGCTGTCCTGAGGCTGCCATAACTTATCTACTTCATTTTTTCAATATATGTTAATTGCTGAATATTTTGCTTGTTAGGCTTTGCAGCAGCTGTTCAATATTTAATTGTCATTAATGTGCACAGAACAAGTACTGCTGAAGAGAAGGCTCTCCTGGGCAACACCAGAAGTAAATGGAATAGATTTCCACTGTATTTAATAGCTCTGAAATATTAAGAGGACTGACACTTATGCTTTATAAATAAGGCTCTGAGTTTTTCATAAAAGTCACAGATTACATGACTTTCCAGGACCTGTTACTTCTGTCATGGCCAGTGTGGCTGACCGCAGCGCCACCCAAGCAATATGTCCAGATCAGCAGTGGGTCCCCCTGCTGCCTCCTCCATCTCTAGAGTAGTAGCAGAGGGGTCATGGAGGCTCCTTCCCTCAGCACCTGCAGCATCTCGGAGCCCCCCTTAGCACCTAAGATTTAATCAGGGGTACTTTTAGTAAAAGTCATGGTAGGTCAGTGGCCTGTGAATTTTTGTTTATTGCCCATGACCTGTCCATGACTTTTACTAAAATTACCTGTGACTAAATTGTAGTCTTATTTGTAAATACCCAGTGTACCCAGTATTGCTCAGGTCTGTAACTGAAGTTTTTTTTTAATTCAATGAAAAATAAACATGCATTATTTCTATTAAATTGCATATAGAACACAAAATATATCCACTCCACCCTCTCTGCAAAAATGTTATAAATAGGAGTGATCCGGCATGTATTTACCTTACTAACCCACTATGTTTATCTGTTTCTGCTGCTCAGTGTATTCAGACTGCTGAAAGCTGAGTACTGCATTTTTTTACAGTTCCATTCATCACATGACCTCATTTCCATGGTATGCACCATCTGGAGATTTTCTTTTTGGTTTAGTAATAGGAAGAAAAGAGAGAGAGCTTCCCCTTTCCTCCGGTGTAAGATGAAGTGTATAGAATTTGCTGCAGTTTAGGAATTGTATATGAGTGTGACACATTCTTCACTTCTGCCAGTCTCACAGAGATGTGGCTTTCACAGTTCTTTTCCGGTTTCACTGCATAGTTTGCTCCTTTGTGGCTTAGCTGTGCAGTGAGATGCTTGCCTGACTTGTTCTGTTCCACAGTCACATCCTGCCTTTCAGCGTGTGCTGCTGCTAATGTTGGGGCTTGAGACACAGAACTGTGATTTTTATTGGCTGGCCTCGGAGAGGCAGCCTGCCTACATAACGGAAGCTGAATAGCTATTAGTTTTGTGGCCTGTATATTCTGCATCTTACCCACTGAATAAAAAAAATGTTTCCTTAGGAACTAGCACAGAAGATTAAAGGATACCAGGAGCAAATAGCCTCTTTGAATTCCAAGTGCAAGATGCTAACAATGAAAGCCAAGCATGCCACTATGCTGTTGACAGTGACCGAAGTGGAAGGACTTTCAGAAGGAATGGAGGAGCTGGACTCAGAGCTCCTCCCAACACACCCAGTTCATCCCTCTGTGGTTATGGTAAGAATTGAATTTGTTATTACTGTTCATTAGGTGCTGCTCTCTTTTGTGCTGTTCAAATGCTACCATGCAGCCAATTGCCACAATGCACGTTGTGTGCTTTGTTTTACTGACATGTTTTGGGGTGTCGCAGATATAGAATGAACTACAGGTTCCTATTAGTATATTTCTGTCACATCAGCTTTCTAAGCCAACAGATAAGGAACAAAGTTGTTTATGAGGATAACAGAAATCAGGCTTTTAAAAGGGGTAAAAATATTTAAAGCTCACTCTTAGCTTTCAGGATGTGTCCTGAGTTGTTTTCTCAATATAGTATAACAAACTGAAAATGCATCGAATTGAATCACAAAAGGGGGGAGGGGCAGAATCAAACATATTCTACAGCATGTTTTTGTATCCTAGATTTTTTTGAAAAACATTTTTCATTAAATGTATTGGACTAATTGACATTGTTATTATTATAGCCTTGCTATTGTATTCATATATAAAGGCTGAATAAATATATTCGTACTAGAGTTCTTACTTTATTTTGCTCAGTCTATATGCAAATGTAGCTCCTATTGATGTCAGTAGGAGTTCTGTCTGAGGAAGGACAGAGTAACGATGGCTATGTCTACACGGAAGCGTTATTGACTGACATTATTCCAAAATAACGTAGTCCGCAGCTACACTATAAGCAGTTATTTCGACATAATGTCAAAATAATGTCAAGCTGGTGGACTTCTTACTCTGATTCCTGTAACTCTCATTTTACAAGGAGTAAGGGAAGTTGGAGGACAAGTGCTCTTTCTCGGACTTTCTGCTGTGTAGATAGCGCCAAAAGCCAAAATAAGCTATTTCGACTTAAGCTACACAGTTGACATACCTCAAGTTGTGTAGCTTATCTCAGCTTGGGCCCTGCTGTGTAGACATGCCAATGAAGTGAAGACTTCAGGATTTGTCCCTATAATATAGAAACCTTAGCAAAAGAAACATGAGATGTTACTATTATAGTGTATTGTGGCTTTATTAATCTGCATCCAATTCTGCTCTTCAACATTCATCCCGTCATCATTTAACTAGGCCTGAAAAGTAAAGTATTGAGGACAGTAGTTCTGGCTATCAGCAGCATTATTCTGTGGCTTTCAATAACTTCTTCTAATGCATTTTGTATTACTCTCTAACTTATTTTTGATGTGTTGTCGTTTAAATTTAAAATTCCCTAGTGGTAGGAGATGGCCAACATCTCAGTAACAAAATGTCAGCATTACTATCACTGCTTGTCTGTCGCTTTCCTGAACTGTTAATATAACAACTCTAAGGGGCTTGGAGGAAGCAGCAGTCCTTAAATTGTGTCTTGACAATTCCAACATTGTGTTAATTTTCTTGTTTTGGTCTACATGTAATGCACCTATTTACTGAGGTAATTGAATGATCTTCTTCCTGTCCTTTGGGGTTGCTTTTCTGTGACAGATGACTGCTGGTCGCTGTCACACACTACTCTCACCTGTCACTGAGGAGTCTGGGGAGGAGGGAACCAACAGTGAGATTTCTTCTCCACCTGCCTGTCGCTCTCCTTCACCTGTGGCTAATACAGATGCTTCTGTTAACCAGGTACCTGCCTTTTGGCATTCATTCAGTTGTCATCTTTGGAAAGATGCATGGTCCCATTCTGTGTACTTTGTAGTTGGTTCCTACTTCAGAAAATTTGAGCTGATTTTCTTTCAAGTTGAGCACACAACTTCAAGGTTCCATCTCGTAAATTGAGACTTATCATCAAGCATAATTGGGACCTGGTTTTTGAATACATAAAAGTTACTAATACTACATTAGAAGCGTAAAGCATATCACTTTGGTACCTTCATCATTTGCAAAAACTGATTCAATAAGTTGGTTATTTTTATACAATTTCTGAGTGAGCTTTACAGTTTTTCTAATTCATTAGTATCTCTGTTGCATTTATAACATGTTTTTTTTTCAAAATAGTATACTCGATGGCATCCTGCATCTGAGAGAACACAATTTTTTACCTCACGTGATGAAACATTCCATTGTTTGTGTGTCTGTCTGCCTTGTGTCATTGTCCAACTAACATCATAGTTTAGTGTTTTCCATTGGTTCAGATATTCAGCTGTCCGCTGTGGTATACTTACTATTGGACTTATTATGTTCATTCCAACCTTTGGACTAAATTCTGTTTTCAATGATAACAGTAACCGCCGTGGTGTTTCAAAGCAGCAGCACCACACACCTATGGCGCTGGGTTGGGGGGAAGGAATGACTAGTCGACTATCTTGTCAACTATCCAATAAGCATTAGAAATGAAGAAAAAATAATCAGACATTAAAGTTAATGGAATTGAGACTACTCATGTGCACTACATATATACATCTATGTATATGATACCGAAAACACAAACAATAAGCAGACTACCTATGAAAACTGGCGTGTACACAAGCTCACATGATTACAAGAAGTCTTATTTCTGCTCTGAGTTTATATATGTGGTCCCAGTGATTTCATGGGGTATGTCTACACTACCCCCCTAGTTCGAACTAGGGGGGTAGTGTAGACATACCCCATGAAATCACTGGGACCACATATATAAACTCAGAGCAGAAATAAGACTTCTTGTAATCATGTGAGCTTGTGTACACGCCAGTTTTCATAGGTAGTCTGCTTATTGTTTGTGTTTTCGGTATCATATACATAGATGTATATATGTAGTGCACATGAGTAGTCTCAATTCCATTAACTTTAATGTCTGATTATTTTTTCTTCATTTCTAATGCTTATTGGATAGTTGACAAGATAGTCGACTAGTCATTCCTTCCCCCCAACCCAGCGCCATAGGTGTGTGGTGCTGCTGCTTTGAAACACCACGGCGGTGTTTCAAAGGAGCAGAGCCGCATGGAACCTGGCTTCAGCTGTGCAGTGCTGCCCTCTCGACTAATCAAATAGTCGATGCAAAAATGCATCGTTTATTTGATTAGTGAATTACAGAATACTTAACATTCTTAGTTCTAAGTAGTAAAAGAGGAAAAGTTCCACAATCAAGTATGTTACTTACAAAATGCTTAGCTTCCTATTCATGTGAGATTATAACTTAAATAAGTGCTAAATAACCAAGCTAGTTCAGATCATAGCACATGTCTAGGAATTTACAAGGAAAAAAGATGCCTAAGTTCAGCAATTCTGGTACTTAAAAGTAAGTAAAATTATTTACAGACAATGCAAAACTTTACAGGTACAGATTTTTAAATTCGAGTAATATGCTAAGAGAGCAGTGTCCCTGGGAGGCTGTGGTCTGCTGCATCCTTGAAACTGTGAGCAGGAATTCCAGGAAAGAAACATAGGCTTTTACAGAACAGTTCAAAGGACTTGTCCACACTAGTGAGGCATAAATTCTAGTGTGCATTCTTGATCTGTGAGGATACTGCTAGTGTGCACTGGAATTTCCATCTCTCTAGTGTATATTATTGATATATACCATGTAGATAAGGCTTAAATCTTTCAGAGCATCACTATGGGGTAAAAAGGAGTAATTTTAGTTGCTGGAAACCATGTAATTTTCTTTTTAAAACTGTTAGAAATAATTAGTTCAGAGGAAACATGAAATTATAGCCAACTCTGACTGTTCTCTTACTGCTAGCTCTTGGATGGGGCTCCCATTATTTTATTTGCGGAGGTTCTTTAACGTATTACCAAGGACAACATGATAAAGACCAAGGGAAATAATTAATCACAATTATTAATCATGGCTATATTATTATTAGAGAAAGAAAAAGAGACAGGCCAATTGTAAATATTAAGAAATTTAAATCCAATTAAACTCCATTATTTTTCAGAAGCTTCAGGGGATATCCGAGTTAGTCTGTACAGGATAAACTTAAAAAAGAATAAATAGTCTGGCAGCATTTATAGACTAACAAAACATGTAGATGTATCATGTATCATACATCTACATGTTTTGTTAGTCTATAAAGTGCTACGAGACCATTTGTTGTTTTTTAAGTTCATCATTATTTTTCAGTTTACCATGGCTTAGCCCCTGTTTCTGCTCAGGAGTACATGGTCTAACTAAGCAGTGATTAACAGGAGAAACTGCTAATACTTTACATTACAACAACAATTTCAGATCCCAATAAAATCATAAAAAGAGCTTAAATCTAACCCCTTGGCTATAACTTAGTTAACTTTTTCTCACCATACATGTTCAGGTCCCAAGAAGATTTTCCTTGAGTTAGTTTCTTCTTGAATATTCTGTTTTTCTTTCCTGTTTGTGGCAGTTTGCTAGAAAAAGGTAGGTGGAATGAATTGTGGAGCGTTTGCTGTTAATGCAGGGTAGTACAGAGTGTGTGCCTGTGGTGCTCACTTATTTTATACCCTTCTCCTTCCTATTTTAATGAAATGATAGGAAAACACATCTGTTTCTGGATTAACAATGAGGAGTCCTGTGGCATCTTAAGCTATGTCTACACTATCAGGTCATTTCAAAATAAGTTACTTTGAAAAAATAACTCCCAAAATAATTATTTCAAAATAAGCTTATTCTTCTTCAAAAACAGGAATTATTATTTTGAAATAACAAGCCCATTATTTCAAAATGACAGACTTGGTAGAGTGGACGCTCGCCTTGTTAGTTCGAAATAAAGGGTGTTATTAGTGTAAATATGCCCTTAGACTCTATGGGTACCTCTACACTTGCCCCCTACTTCAAGGTAGGGAGGCAAATGAAGGTGACGGAAGTTGCAAATCAAGCACGGGATTTAAATATCCCACGCTTGATTAGCATAGTCGCCTCTGGTCGCCATGTTGGAAATTGACTAGCCCGAATTAACGTGGCAAGTGAAGATGCGGTACTCCGAGGGAAAACCCCATACTTCGAATTAACTGTACTCCTCCTGCAATGAGGAGTACAGTTAATTTGAAGTACGGGGTTTTCCCTCAGAGTACCGTGTCTACACACGGCGCGTTAATTCGGGCTAGTCAATTTCCAACATACCGACCCGCGCTTGATTTGCAACTTTGAACGACTTCATTTGCCTCCCTACCTCGAAGTAGGGGTCAAGTGTAGACGTACCCAAACAGATTTATTAGGGCATAAGCTTTCATGGGTAAATCCCACTTCATCAGATGAATTCTTTGTGGATTGTTTAGATGCAGAGCTGGATGCTGTCAGCCTTTCACTGGCTCCATTGCCTTTGGAGATGGCTTAGGTGACACCTTCAGTTCCTGAGTATGCAGTCTGTCTAATGAATATACAACATTTCTTCAATTGCCTTTATTCTTCTTGTGGTGGAGAGGTGTCAAATAACTTAATTTACTGACTGATTCTTTTGAGTTTATTATGTTTTGACGGGAAATTAAATGTTGTTTTGTAAAATTCCAAACACTCCTGTTCTTTCATATACAAAGCTTTAATTCTCAAAATAGCCTTTTAAAAATTAAAACATCTCTTACAAAGTCTTTATTTTAAAATAGTTTAAAAGTTGAATCTTTTATAACATTTTTAAAGAAATTATTCTGTCTTCCAAACTTGGGGAAGAGATTTCTCATACGCTGCCAGTATTAATTAATTCCCATTCTGTACTTAAATGACTTCCTGCATTAGAAATTTAGTTTAGCAAAGTTCTTAGATTCCACATCACAACATCAATTTTTTCCCATTTTTATAGAAATAATATTAGAAGCTTTGAATTTACTAACATATGCATTTAACAGAAGTGTTTGCTATTTAACATTTAAGAAATAAAAAGGTATAAAATATTTAACTACGCATGCTTTTTTCTGAGTTTGCATAAACACCCTTAGGGTAATAAAATCTTCTTAGCTGCAAAGCCATGTTTATCCTCCTTGACATTTGCTTGTCCTTAGAAGCTAAGTTGGAAGCATCTCCAAATTTCTTTGATTAGCTTAAATATTTATTTTTTTAAATAATTTGATGAACAAAAAATTTCAGGGGAAGCATTTTTTTCTTCAACCATCATATGCACCACTAAAAGCACAGGCAAATTTAATGATGACATTAATATTTTTACATCAATATTAAGGTCTCTCACCTACAAGTTTAAGTGTTATTTCCTAGTTAGTTAAATAAGGTTTAAGCAATAGCTCAATGAGAGACAGATCTTTTTCAGTGCATTTGGAAAACATCCAGGATTTTTCTGTTTAAAGATGGAATCCTTTTCAATTGAGGAGACTGGGTAGGAGCATGTCACTGCAGCAATCATCTCGGGCAGTGTTTCTCATCCACCAGTCAATGAACTGAGTCCCTGAGATCTCCTTAAAACAGATTAGAAATGCAGCTAGTTTGGTCCATGGTATCTAAACGTTTAAGATACACTGATCTAGGATTACCCTCTAGAGCTGCTCTCCTAACTGGTGGTAGTTAATTACTGCTCCTAACTGTGGCCAGTATGGAGCTGGTACACTCTAACAGAATCAATGAACACTGGGTACATTGTTCCTATGTCAGGAAATCTATTTCAGGAGAAGAATAATGTCTTTCCTACAACCAGCAAGGAGGGAGTTGGCCTGTTGTGCTACCACTTAGAATGGTATAGTATACCCTCCCTTATCTGGTCAGTCAGCCAGTTTTTTGGGGATAATTT